AGGGAAGAGCGAGGGTAAGTAGTTACTTTGCTTGCATCCGGGGGCTGGGTGAAGGTAGGGCGACGCTGGAAGAGGCTGAATGTTCATGGGCTGATTGTGCCATTTCTGAGGAACATCCGTCCCAGGATAACCGCTCGCCACGTGTCGATTAGCCGGGTGCGCATCTGGCGGCGCTGGCACACCCATCACCGCAGTCCCTTGCCACGTTAATGGCGCACCCTGCACAACTTGTGACCCCGAAGATCCTCCAGCTACCGCTTCGTACGACGGAGGTGGCTGGTGCCCATCGTTGCTGCTACTGCCCTGATTATTCATCGCAATTCGACTTCTCTCTCTCTCTCTCTCTCTCTCTCTCTCTCTCTCTCTCGCTCGCTCGCTCGCTCGCTCTCTTAAGAGCGCGCGGGAGTTCCTCTCGCCACAGTAACGGCGATGGAAGGATATAGCAAGAAGAGTAATCACATGAGGAAGACAATTTGCAGGCCGGTGGTAAGCGTACAAATGAAGATGGCACAGGCAGGGAAGATGAGGAAGAAAACTGTATCACGAAGACGAGCAAGAAAACTGTGTTACGAAGAGACAAGGAAGACAAAAAATGACAGAACAAGATCCTTCTTGGCGTTATAGATTGACGATGGATGTCTCACATCGGTTATGTGTTCTGTGTGTGAGAAGGGGGCCTGCCCAAGACTTGTCACGTTACAGTACAACGACCTTTCACACACTCTTGAGCGGGCATCTTGACACTAAGGCCCTCACCACACCACTGTCGAAATGTGAAAAAGAACTAATGCATGTTCCGCAGAAAGCGGTAAGATGCAGCCGTTGCCGTTCATAGTAACGGATGCACCTTGCCATCCGCTGCGGCAAGATGCCCTTGTACGGTTCGCTTCCAAAATCTCGAGCGAATCCGCGTTGATTTTTCCTCGACCGGTCCTGACCACCTGCCCGCACTTTTCGCCTGCGGCCGTCAATCATTAATCATTGACCTGAAACGAGTGCATCTTCCTGTAGAAAATGGCCAGGTTCGTCGGTTTGCTATAAATACTAACGAGTGTATTTTGCCACCTTTCGTGGGCAGATCCACTCGCTTCGTTTTCGTTTCGTGTGCCGTCCCGCGAGACCCTATCCGCTTTGAGTGGAATTCGAACTTAGGCTCGGACCCCACTGGCCGGCGGCTGGAAAAGTTTTGGCATGGAAGGGCAATTGGGGACCCCATTGGGCCGCCAGATGCACTGCCCGTATGCCAACGTCTTTTACAGACCCCACTGCCATTCTGGAAACACTGCTGGCCGTGTTTCTACTCGACTGGCGGCTGGAAAATATCCGCCAGAAACCCGCGGCCGTCTTCCAAAACGTCCTCCAGACGGGTAGGGGCTCGAAAGTGGCGAAAAGTTTCCATCACAGCGGGCCGCGTGTGGTTCACAAAACGGGCGTCTTGTACGTCGGGGCGGACCAGGCCGAAACGCAGCGGTCGAACGTCGTGTCGCACTTTTCGTCCAAACGGGCCGTACGCGGTCCCTTCAGATGGTCCCCCGCCGTGGTCCCGCTGCATTTCGAAACGCGGGAGCGGCAAATTTGAATTCAAACGGTGTTTGAACGGAATTTTCCACCGTGCCAAGAAGTACTTGGGGCGGAGAGAAGGAATACAGGCCATTGCGCTCTCTGTCGATCATGTGGCCGCAGTTTTTGTCACGACCTTGCTGGTCTGAAGTTGTCTTCTTCGTTCGAGCACCGGGTGGAAGGTCGATCTGCCATGCGAGTACTCACAGGACTTGCGCGTTTTGGACGTGTGGCTTCCGTCCAAGGTGTGTCCATGTCCCACGGTCGTCCTTTGTGGAGTCGTCGTTGGACGCATTCGGATGCCTCCACTGCGGTCCGGACGCTACTGCAGTTTCCTGTGTTCAGCTCCGAACGTGCAGCTGCGCGAGCCTCTTTCCGTGGCAGTGGTTGTGGTGACGTGGTTGTTCCAACGTCGTTGTCGCCGTTCACTCCGACGGCTGGCCCACACAGAATCCCATCCGCATCTTTCGTCGTCCATTCCCCGCGATCTCCAGCCTGCAGCGCAGGTCCTCCGTTGTGTAATCGACAAGCGGATGTTGGCAGAAGTGCAGGAGAGCGTGTGCACGTCAATAGTGGACACGTGGCGATCGGAGACAGCACGGCGCCATCTACACATGGGTCTGGTGGGGGGTGTCGCCGCAGTTCTGTGAGGGGATGTCATGCGGTTGTCGTCGTGGCCAACGGGCGTTGTGGCGGCCGCGTGGACGGTTTGTCGCTGCTCGTTGTGGGCGTAGCAGTCATTGTTGTCCTCGTCTTCATGGTAGGGGTCTTGCTTTTGTCGTTAGTTGTCACGTTCGTTGCCATTGGCCTTCTCTGCAGGCGTCTGTAGTCATCCTCCGTACGGTTGGGGCGAAAGGTGCCACCTTTCATTGTTGATTACGCGGTGTGCTCCGGTGGCAGTTCGGTAATGGAGTCCACACGTTGGACGGGTGACGTCGAAGTTCGTTCCGATGGCAGTACTGACATGCACGACGGCCGTGTGCATGCACGGCCCCATTCTCGCGGGCAGGGGGTCCCGAGCATGTATTCCTTCGCCGCCGTGCGTCAATCAATGCCAGACGTTACTTCCCCTCACGTGCGCCTTCCCCGCCGTTGCCCGTCGATAGAGGGTGTGGTAGACAGTCTCCCGAGAGGTTGCATGCAGGCCTTCTGCGTGGTTGTCCACCAGCGGTGGACATGCGGGACGACGGCGGTTTCGCCGTTGATGATCACTCTTTCTCCGTCCAACGCCAGTGCGATTTGTATGCAGTGAGGGCATGCACAGAAAGGACGAGCATGGTTGCAGGTTGCGGTGTTCTCCATCTCCTCAGCTGGGCGTTCACACGGACGGCCCGTGGAATCGTACAAACACGCAGCCGGTGTCTCCCGAGACTCGCATGGATTCACCGTACGACGAAGGCGTCGCTGTTTCCGGAGGAGCCGGTGAAGACGGTCATGCAGAGCACGAGAGTGTTGTTCCAGTGATGGCAAGGTCGATGTGCGAGCAGGGTGATGCGCAGGGCCGGGGTGCGGAAGGCGGGGAGGGGAGCAGGCGGCCGGCGAATGCTCGACCGCCGGCTCAAAAGAAGCAAAGCATGCCATGGACGTTGGACGAGCGAGTGAAGCTTGCATTCGTTATGGGCGAGGACAATGCCCTTATGGCGGATGCTAACGGCCAACACCGATTCAAGCAGAGCAAAGAGCGGTATGCATGGGTGACCGATAGGATGAAGGACGCTGGCTTCAAACATAGGACCGTCGAAGACTGCCGCAAGAAGTGGTCCAACATGCTACAGACGGCGAAGCTCATCGTCGAAAAGTGTCACGCGTCTGGACATGCGTCGTATTGGGATCTATCTGTGGAGGAACGAAAGGAGAAAAATCTCCCGCTGTCTTTTGAAAAACCGTTGTGGGACGCTATGCAGTGGAAACTAAACCGGCCGTCGATGAGGTGTGACAACACCTTGGCTTCGGAGAACCTATCGGGGGATGGAACAGATCCATCACCGGCGGGAGGATCGGATGAAAGATGCACGGAGTCGGACAATTCTGCGAAAATGAGGCGGACGGCCACCGGGAAGGCGAGAGGGGAAGATGGCAGTAGCGGTGGCACGAGTATGGGGAGGGCCATGGAAGATTCTACACGCTCGTACTGTGATGGCCTGGACAAAGCGGCCACCTCCCTTGCCAAAGCCACCGCAGACCCAGGCACCGCAATCGCCGCTCGGATAGGGGATGTGGCCGACGCGATGCGGGGTGGGAACAGTGTTCTGGAGTTGCTAGTTGGGGTTCTAGCCCGCAGGGGAGCGAATGGAGGTCACTCCACCGAAGC